TAGATCACAAGCCAAGTTCAACACTCAAAAGCTGAAGGACCACGCTACAAAGGACACCTTCATTGCAAGCATAAAGGACAAAGCTGAGATACAAATCAGCACTAGTGAAGAGGTCGGCGTCGAAAAGCACTGGAACAACTTGAAAATGGTGTGGAGTCAAACCTGCATAGAAATTATGGGCAGAAAAAAGAGGCAGGAAAAACAGTGGCTCACTGTGGACACTTGGATACTAATAGAGGAGAGAAGGATGGTGAAACAAAAGATTATCCAGTGCACCGACGAGCAACAAAAACAGGAGTTGAATGCAAGCTACAATACACTGAACAAAAGAGTGAAGAAGAGTGCCAGGGAAGACAAAAGAAAATATTATGAAACCATTTCAAGTCAAGCAGAACAAGCTGCAGTGCAGGCGGAGAAGACCTCGCCAAACTCTACCAAACAACTAGACAACTATCGGGAAAAGTTTGACACAGATTAAGCCAGTAAAGGATGACAATGGAAAGTCAATCACCAAAGAGGTGGAGCAAAGAAAACACTGGCCCGAACACTTCAAAAGACTTCAAAATCAACCGCCACCTACAACGCGCCCAACAATACCAACAACGGAAGCAGAACTACCACTGAACATTGACCCCCCCCCCCCGACGAAATCAGAGGTCATAAATGTAATCAAGATGCTAAAAGCCTGAAAAGCAGCAGGACCAAATGGAATCCCAGCAGAAGCATTGAAAATGGACCTAGAGACATCAGCGGACTTGATGACGCCACTGCTGAAGAAGATGTGGAAAGAGAGCAAAGTACCCGAAGATTGGAAAAAAGGATAATTATTCAAACTGCCAAAGACAGGAGACTTGAATCAATACAAAAACTGGCGAGGAATTATGCTCCTGTTCGTCCCAAGCAAAATACTAAGCCGCATCATCCTCGACAGAATCAAAAAAAAAACCTTCGACCGAAACACACTGGATTCAGGAGAAACAAGTCATGCATTGATCGAATTGCCACACTACGAATCATCATTGAACAAATCTTGGAATGGAAGTCAGCTCTCTATCTCAACTTCGTCGACTTTGAAAAGGCCTCCAACAGCGTCGATCGAGATGTCATTTGGCAACTACTTCGCTACTACGGGGTGCAATCGACAATTATACATCTCATCCAACAGTTGTACGACAATGCCGCGTGCCAAGTAACCCACAACAGGAAACTTACGGAAGCCTTCGAAGTGATGACGGGATTGAAACAAGGCTGTCTACTATCGCCAATGATCTTCCTGATTGCAGTATATTGGATAATGAAACAGACAATGGGAAATGAGGAAACAGGCATAAAATGGACTCACAAAAAACTTGGAGGATCTGAACTTCGCCCGCGATAATACATGTCTGATTTCCTACAAACTAGAAGATATGCAAGTGAAAAGCAACAAGCTGGCCAAAGAAGAAGCATCAAAGATAGGACTTCACGTGAACATAGACAAAACGGAGGTGATGAAGATTTCTGGCCAACAGCAACAACAACAACAGACAACAATCAACCAGCATAAATGGGAGGAATCTGAAAGAAACAACACCCTTCACCTACCCACCGACATGGGAAGCATCGTTTCAACTACAGGGGGACGGAACTGACGAGGATATCAGAGCCAGAATCGGAAAACCCAGACAAGCTTTCATTACTCTTAATTCTGTGTGGAGGTCAACAGCCCCACTCAGCATCAAAAATAACATCCGGACTTTCAACTCCAACGTGAATTCAGTCACTGCTACTATACGGATCAGAGACTTGCACTGCGCGTCATAAAGAGCATCTCAAACAAACTTCAGACCTTCATTAACAGTTGTCTTCGCTCAATACTGCTCAAGATCAGATGGCCAGCCAGAAAAGATCAGAAACAGGGATCTCTGACAATGAGCGAACCAACCAGGAACCGATTGTGCAACAAATGGGCAGGAAGAAATGCAGATGGATTGGCTAGCCATACCCTGAGGAAACCATCAAGTGACATCACTAGACAAGCCATCGCTCGAGTGGACGCTGAAAGGGAGGCGGCGAGTTGGTCGTCAGTGCAAGGGTGACTTGGAGGAGGTCATGTGAAGAGGAGATGAAAGCATATGGGCATACTTGGAGCCAGGTGAAAACTCTAGCAGAGAACCGAACGCAATGGAGACGTGCGTCCGAAGCCCAGTATTCGTCTAGGATTTAAAGGATATAATATATATATATATATATATATAATAAACATGAATTAGAGGAGAATCTATTACTGATAATCTAGCATTCATTCTGTGTCTATGATCTGTGTTGACTGTAAATAACATAAGATAATGTCTAAGTTCTCAGGCTGTACAGTAATCGGCATGACTAGTAGTCATTAACCCAGGAAACATACTTTCTTACAAACAAAAATAAACCATCCTACCTCAACTTCACTGATGATATTTATGTATACAAATCAGCGAATTCAACGGTAATACTTGACACAAACAATCGAGTTGAGCTTTCAAATTTCAGACGATTTAATTGATTTCCTAATGGATTCTATCATAAACTGACATCAGTTACAAAACCGTTTGGGAATGAGGAGAATTTTGCAGTTGTTTTATCCTAATTTTGGTCCAGTCCACAATCTACTTACACGACTAGCTGAAGGGCAAATTCAAGACTATCTATTTGTGATTCGGGATATAGTAGCCAGCAGTTTTTAACTTTTCCCTGTAGATTACAATAGGTTGTGTGTAGTGAGACTAGACCGCGAAAATTACGACGAAGAAATTCGAAAATAATGAAACATTTGTTATTTTTACTAACTGTTTAAATTAATAAGAGTGTGTTTCTTGAGAAACCAAACTGTCCTTGATTCGGTGAACATATTTAAAGAGTTGCAGGTGTAATGGAACAACGGCTCTTTACTCCTTGGCTTTGAATAATTATCATCCTGGTTTCAGTTTGAAATAAATAAATTATCACTGTCCACTTTTCATGTATTGATTTAAATAAAACGGTACACACTTTAACTCACATTTATCTAAAATGGCGATTGTATCAAAATTGGACTAGACGAGAGAAAAACTACCACCACTACTACTAAAATAACAAAAAATTATTCGTAAACTGATATTTTTTGGTTGTTTGATGAATTCTGTAGGACTTCAGCTAATCGTCGACATAGATGTGGATGCATGTACGCATATGCATACACTAAATGATGAACATGGTTTTTAAAAAAGCTTGTTTCATATTCAACCACATCAGCCAAAACGCTCGTAACTGATAATATTATTTTCGATATATGTTTACATAAGTCATAAAAATAAACAATCATTTACACAACAATTTGTGTCATAAAATTAATTTTATTCTCTCTCTCTCACCCTCCTTCTGGTTTTGTATCTCACTACACAAACTGCCATATATGTGCAGAATGCTTAACAGTCATTCCACCCAGTGTTTACAAAGCTAATTTAGCGTATATATATATATATATATATATATATATATACGCCAAATTAACTCCAGTTTTGAATATCCCTGTTCCAAAATTTAAAATCCCCTTGAATATTGAATGAGCATTGGTCGCCTTAAACAACTTTACATTTGTATGAGCCACTTTTAAATCGAAAAAACAGATACAAGGAAACTATGAAAGACTGTTAGTGATTGACATCAAATAAGTTTAGTTAGTTACTTAGTCAATTAGATAGTTATTTATTTATTTATTCAATTAGTTAGTTTGTTATTTTGTTTGTTTGTTAGTTACTCAGCTATAAGCTACCGAAGAAGATACTATGGTGTCACTTCCTCCCTTATAACTTAACGAAACCATACATGGCATCATATAATGCCAGTTATACTTTTTGTTACGAAAATTTGCAGCTTCCAGCTGTTGGTTTCGTAGAACAAAATTATCTTGTTACCCCATCATTCTGGCTCTGCAATCAATAATCTGTTACTGTTTCCATTATACACACCTCAGCTTTCTTAGCTGAATATAAGTGATTCACGGTGGGTGACAGTAGTCGTTGAGGCTGAAACCAAAGAACAGTCAAAATTATAGACTGTGTGACTGATAAGCCATTATAACGTTTTTTTACATACCACATTTGATGCAAATAGGTTCGTCGGATAGCTAACTCAATGTTACCTTCAATTTCAGATTTCACACCTAATTTTAATTAACAGTGAAACTCAAAGTAGGTGTTTGATATTATTTTCAAAGCTAATTCTATCACTCACTGAGTTGTCGGTAAGCTCATCTGACAAACTGTAGACAGAACAGACCTCAGGTTTTAGTCTTCACTGTCAGCCATTAACAAATGGTCAGCACTTAGGCGGGTGACATGTCCAGCTTTTTAAATTCATGTTTCTACTGAGTAAAAGTAATGACATGACTTTTAAGCGCACACTGTTGACTTTTACCTGTGTATTTCTAATCTTTACTGTATCGCGTAATTTGCCTGATGACTGATTTCATTTATCTGGTTTGTGCTGACAAGAAACAAGTGATCTCATGCTATGCGGTTTTAGTGATTGTTCTTTCTTGATGTAACTTCGTCGTCAACGCTTAACTGTCCCAATTAGCGTTACCGAAAAAAATCAGACTACATTCACCACTATGATTCAGTGATTTATTAAACTAACTGGCGAAATAAAACATATTTACTTTGTTCAGTATTTTTTTATTAAGCAATGGTTAGATATAAAAGAGATCAGCACTTATGATATTACTAGAAAAAAGAGATTTCAAAGGATAAAATAAATAGTGGTAAATATACACATGTAGCTGATACATTCAAATTTATTCTAATGTTCAATGCTTACAAAATAGTTTAAACAAACTATCGCTACAGAATTTATGAACAATGCAAATAATAATGTGGTAGAAAGGAGAAGAAAAATAATAATAACTGGTATTAATCATAACAAAATACACGGTTGCGAAACATTCATATTCATAAAATGCATTTATGACTTCAAGACGTAAATATCTCTGTTTTAGATTAATATGACTTTTGATTGACTTCTACTGCCTGGTGTACACCGAAACGGAATTTACATTTCCCCCATATTTCCATATGTAATACCCGCTGACCAGATTTCATTGGTTCTGTCCATACATGTGGACCTTTGTCAGGACCATTCTCACGTGTTCTATCTGATCTCAATACATCGTTTATTATAGTGCCTAAATCACCTTCAAGATATTTGACTAGTGAATTATCTCGAACCGGATCCAAGAATAATACACGAAGACGTCCATACATTGAAGATTTTAGACGGAAACAGCAATTCATTTCTTCTTCACTAATTTTTACCTATCATAAATGGCAAAGAAAAGTTGTCCGAATAATTTGCTAGAAAATGTGCATAGAAAAACTAAATTCACAATTTGTTCAGAAATAAACTTATACAACGTTCAGATTTCATTTTCCTTTAGGAGAAACGAAATGTAGTTAGTGCCACCAGCTGAAGAGTAGAAGATACATGTTCTGAGGATGAGACTGAGAAGGGACTGATAATATTATACAATATACAAACCACTTCAAAAGCATTATCTGATTATAAAGAAGAGTCAAAATAAAATAAATCCCAAACTATGAATAAAATGTAAAGTCAGTGTACTTAGACGAATACCAGTTTATAGCAATGAGATGCCTCCCAACCATGTACGTAGTCCGGGTTTGATTTCTGGCCAATTCACTCTTAAACCTTGATTAGTTGGGAAGTATGCCAGGTGAAAACGGGGAGGAGTGTTTGCGCGTGAGGCGAGCAACTCCACCTTGTAAAAAATCACACTACTGTTATAGAGACTTCACAGCTTCAAGCTTAAAGCTTTATTTTCGCCTCGGAAGGTAAAGGAATGAAAAAATAGACTAAATCGGAAGTTTCAAACACAAATTATGTTTTCCAAATGCTAAATTCTAAATCAAAAGTTAAAAGATGAATGTCTGTTATACCTACTGGGATTCATGTATATCCAGTTGATGAATGTCAGATCGAACAACTAGCATGTCCTGGATTCTATCACTAACCCACTGTCAACTAAATAATACCCATCATATTCATTTTTTCCGGCCTGTCCTACAGAAGCAGTTAACTCTGATAATACTATATAGGTGTTATTAAATAGAAGTGTAGAGGATATAGTACAGAATGAACCTAGCACTCACACATTTCGAAGTAAGCCCACAAACATTCATTCATTAAATCCAATGGTCATTAGTTTTCAAGTATTGGTTTTGTAGGGATTTTGTTTGATTGAATGGAGGATTTCATCATCAGCTGACATCAGTTAGAGAATCACTGGAAAACCTGGGAGTACTGGACAGCTGTTTCGTCCTACTCTGGGACTCTTCACAGTATGCACCTACCGTGGTTCAAACCCAGGACCTTCTGGTTACAAAGCGAGCTCGTAGACTATTGAACCATTGGGACCAGATCCAATGGTCTCTGAATTCTAACTTCTGCCAATTCACGACATAGCGTGACCGTTTCACAATGTCTTCTTCGATGAGTTACTGCCTCATCTTCAACCTGCTGTACCCTACTGGTCACGGCTTCCCACTAGAACCTCAGGTTAACTGCCTGAATAAGGTCAGTCGCTAGTGAGCTAGTGAGTTAACCTGAGGTTCTAGTGGGAAGCCGTGACCAGTAGGGTACAGCAGGTTGAAGATGAGGCAGTAACTCATCGAAGAAGACATTGTGAAACGGTCACGCTATGTCGTGAATTGGCAGAAGTTAGAATTCAGAGACCATTGGATCTGGTCCCAATGGTTCAATAGTCTACGAGCTCGCTTTGTAACCAGAAGGTCCTGGGTTTGAACCACGGTAGGTGCATACTGTGAAGAGTCCCAGAGTAGGACGAAACAGCTGTCCAGTACTCCCAGGTTTTCCAGTGATTCTCTAACTGATGTCAGCTAATGATGAAATCCTCCATTAGTTTTCAACTTATTCTAACCCTCAACACAGAGTCAAAACAGTGTGCGTCGTTGGCACAGTGGTTAGGACTCTCGCCAACCATGCACATGGTCCGAAGTTCGATCCCCTGCCGACGCATACCCGATATCTATGGTCAGTCTGCAAAATTTGGGCTACCGATATCACATGCTGAAAATTCCATACTTGTACCAAAAATACAGTGTGGAATCAAGCTGTAATCAAAAAATAAATAAATAAAAATAAAAATAAAAAATATGCTACCAGTGGCTAAACGTCTGTGTAGGAAACTTGATGAACTCTTGTTCGTTACAATTTGTATTGTAGATTGAATGACTTTATTCAGTCATGTAAATAAAATTGAACAATAAATAGGTATTCTACAGATAAGTTTTGCATATTTGCATATTCTCGGAAATATTTCTTAAATGATAGTAACTTGCGATCAAATCAATTTTTTATAGAAAAATTGAATGTTTTTTATGAAACATTAGTCATCTCAAAAGTGAACTGTAGAAATACTTCAGTCAAATAAATAGTTGTTACACTAACATAAATTTATGCGTAATCGTGATTCACTTAACAAAACAATAAGGTCTAATAATGAAACAGGTTCAATGGTGGATGTCTGAGTGTTTTGGAGAATAGGTCTGTTTTTTTATTATGTTTTGTTTATTTAACACTGCGCATCGGGGGCTTTCATTATTTTGTTTACTATATTATCTATAATAAGTGGTGATGATGCTAATAAATACTTCAGTGTAACACTTTTGATTCACAGTAACATTTGAAAACTCTGTAGCCCTACAGTATTGTTCTGTTACGCTTAAAAGACTTTGACAGTATAATCTTTCACTTGCAATTAATGGCGTTCTCTGAGCTGGTTGGTTTAGTTGAGGACCTTTCGTCGTCCTTCTGGACAACATCTTCGGCGGAATATTAACCATCTGATCTCAAACTTAATCTGCAGCTCTGAATTTACACATATTAGTAATTATTGTTTTAAACATTTGCTGGCTGTATATTTTTTATTCTACATTCATTTGGTCCTACAAAGATACAAATTCTGACTAACGAACGCAGGAAGATTCGAATTTTAGTCACTAGGAGAAATAGCATTTATTCAACGCTTCCGTGAATGGCTTTATTTTATGTTGGTGAAGTTCTGAGAGGTATACAAGTTTGGTGAGAGAATTTACCATCTCAGCTGAAGACAGTCTACACAGTATTTGCATGTAATGCTTCTCAATAATTTCAAAGGAATTTACACCCCTTTAAAGGTGACAGAAATGATCCTTAATTCGAAATAATCAGATGCGCTCAGAATATACTCAAAAGCATATCATTCAGGTGTTAATATTCTGTATAATTGCTTAAAAATATCCACGTATGCCTTGATACATAAATTTCGTGTGATATTTCTCACATTCTGGCAAACTGTCTACAGTGGTGTGATTTAGTTTGTCATATTTGATAAGAGGAACTTGTGGCTTATCTATAGAAGCCGACAGTTCCTTGGAGGTGATAAATCAATCTCACTCAAGCTCTTAGAACTAAAAACACCTCATGTCGATCAAGCACCACATGTAACCACAATGATAAGTGATAAAGTATTGATTTGTACAGTGGCGTGTGACTCAGTATTCAAGTCACTGACGTAAATTCTTCGTTAGAAAATTTTATGAACCCATCAACCAGTAATTCATGTCTAAATCTCTGAAAGAATAAAAGATTCTTCAAATTTATACCTACAGTTTGCTGATGTGTGTCAACAAAAAAGAAACGACCGGGTGAGTAGAAGAGTTTCCTGTCGAAAAGTTCACAACGACAGATGGAAAAATGTGGCTAAATTGTTTTTAATGCCTTATGGCCAATGAATAATACAGCCTATCTGCTATTGGGAGTAAGTTTGTTACCTAAGTTTCGATGTTGGAGACAAATATTAAACAACCTCATCCCTATTCTTTATTTTATCTTCCAATTTGATACTTAGTTGTTAGCTTATAAGAAAGGAAGCAAAATGTTAGGTATAATACCAAATTCCTTGGCTTAACTCATGAATTTATCATAGTAAACTCTTCCATAGGCTTTTGATTCATATACAAATCAGAAATGTGTCAGCCAAGGTGATTGTGGTACTAGATACCGGAGGTAAATAAAAAGGAATCCCAAAATGAAGTGTAAATTTCATGCTTATAGATGCACAGCAACAACTTGTGTCTGAAAGCTTAGGGAAACCCAAACTCTCGAACCAACCACACCTCATCATGAGACCAGACACTTTACCACGACTGACCTTTTCTGGGACTAATGAAATGCACCTGATAGTGCCTAATATAAATGAAACGTTCTTAGGGCTTATAGATCAGATTGATTACTCCACATTCATCAAGTTTGGAAGAACCTGAGGAGACTGAATAGTGGTCATCATAAACGCTTTATCGCTGTCACTTTAAAGTGTTTAGTCACGAAATGAGTGAGGAAAATTATTTAATATAAACACCGGCTGATTTCAGTCATTTATACTACAGGCAAAAGGAGAAAAACTGGCGATGAGTCTACTTGTTATAAATACTTACTTCCGCGGATGCAGAATGTCTTGCCGGCACTGAAATACGTGTATCAACACCCCAGGCAAGTTCTTCTTCGGTGGACTGTCTTGTCGATGAACCGATTGAAATTTCATGCTTAAATCCAGCATTAGCTTCCATGATTGAACTCGGTAACTAAAATAAAGCAATAAATAGCAATAATAAATGTATTACTTTCAATGTCATTAGCTTATGGAAAACATGCATATAAAAAATGAATCATTTTAAAGTTGGTTTTAACCACAAACCAACGTCACCCAGAAGAAATGATTCATATTCTGCCCTGTAACTTTAATAAGATAACTTATTGGTACAGAGGACAATGTGTTTTACAAACATCTGTTCTCAGAAACAGCTGCATGAAAGTTGACTGAATAATGCATTTATGCATACCCCTATTAATATCTAAGGTTATTTACTCGTGAGTGTACAATGAGATCTACTGAACAAGTGTTCTGCACAGAGTCTAAGCCAGCTGACGACAAACCTCTGTCGTGCATGTAAGTTCCAGTGTTAAATGTCAGAAGAAACGAGATGGCAAGAAGCTTTACAGATTAAGTTCTATCCAAAGTGAAAGAATCAGCTGTAAGACGATATGTCAATAAAAAATGGTAAGGAAAGGGAGTTTAAACTGTTAACGAGTGTGGGTCGGACACATATGCAATGAAAGCTTTTTTAATTTTCCCGAATTTAGGTTTCTACAGTTCCGACTCCTGAATATCTATTAGTGATTTCTAGGAATGACTGCTTGCTGGTGCCACGTTTTCGATCAGCTTGCTTCTTAATATATGTGTAAAACTTGGGCACTGTGGAATTAAGTAATTCCATATTAGTTTGATTATTAAATGTATCACACAGTGAAACAGTATTGTATACTGGATGACGTTTCGAACACAATTTATTGTTCATAATCATATCAGTTTGCTTCTTATTAGCTGATTTATTGTTTATCAGATTTATTACCATAATCCATATGAATATAAATTTAGGTGAAGACTCAAGAATCAGGGGTTATTCGCATGAATCAGAAAATGTATCTGAAAATTTGAAGAAACTCCCATTTTCTGGATTTGAGAAGTATGCCTAATGCGGCTATTATAAAATCAAGATATTTAAGATAGCAATCACCATAACTATCTTGTCTTAACTGTGCTGATGGAAGGTTTTTATTTAAGCATCTGATATGGTTACTGATCCACGTCATACGACACCTTTATGAATTGCAGGATTTCTTTTGTCTTTAGATTGAAATTTGTCCTTTGGTGCCTTGGTCAAGTTTGATAATATACAATAATGATGAGTACAAACGAATATACAAATAGTTTGAAAGGTAGATAAGATGCATGCGATGATTATGAATGGCGTTAAGTATCAAAGATCAACTGGTTCTTGATATTACACAGAAAACTAACAAAATCTATTTTAAATATATTAAATGATAGATTTGACTGTAGAAGGTTTTTGTTAAATTGTTATACTGATAAATATTATTACACCTATACCTTACTGGTAGTGAGAAGTTTATAAAAAGGGACGACCGTTTGAACCAGTTCTTGTTATGCCCGACTGCCTGTATCACTCAACATGTACAGAGTTAGCATAACTTTTAAGAGCATACCTAAAAACAGTTACAAAACCCAGTCTATAGAAAATATTTGAGTTCATTCAAAAAAGATTTAAGACCTGGAAGTAAAGAACAGATAATGAGATCTATTCCAGGGGTGGATAAAGGATAAAGACGTCTTTTCCTCTTGAAACTAAAAATATTTCATTCAAAACTTTTAAACACAAAACTGAGATATCTTTTGAAACTTCAAGTTTTACTTGTAAGAGTGATAAACTGAATAATGTAGAGTGATATGATAGAGAAGATTTGTAGCTCAGGTGGATGATTTTGATGTGGTTTTGTTCTCTGAGCTGGATGGTTAGTTTGCGAGCTCAGAGAACAAAACCACATCAAAATGTAGAGTGAAAAAGGTTTTATTTGCTCTCAGTCGTGTTGCGATGTATGTTATTGACAAGAATTTGTGAGTACTATATATATAACATCTGCAGAAATCTTGAATACAGGAATGACGGGTAAAGTTATACTTAAGAGATGAGAGGAGGTAATCGCAAATCAATATCGAAGGCATGAAACAAAAAAAAGAAGAAAGTGAATAGTTCGTACGGATTAGATTCTCAGTGTATAGTTGTCACATTTCCGCACTACTGTATATAATTTGCAGAACATCAAATTCTTTTTCTGTAACGACCGCCTTCTTCCTTATGAAGCAGTCATTGACTTGATGTCTCTGGCTTCTCAATACACATACGGAACCACGCATAAATTATCCAAAGTGACTGTCATTTAAACTGTTAATTACTCACATCTAAATAGCATAGTTGTCACTATCTGACAAAGTTAAAATTCACGGGTTATCGGGTCCAAGGTCAATTCGTTGAATGGTTAACGAGCTTGGTCTCTTAACCTGAAGGTCTAGGCTTCAGTCGTGAGTGTGCAGTGATTAAGACTCCCAAACTAGGATGAAACAGCTTTTCAGTACTGCTTGTTTTACAGCGATCTCTAGCTGATGTTGGTTCGTGAAAAAAAAAATCAACATTGAAAGATAATAAAGTCTCGGGAACCATAGGTAGTAACAAAATTGTCAACCTTTGAATTACTTTGTTTCATGGATGATTCAGAGCCAAAGTACAACTGAACTACTACCTTATAAAATCAATTTTTTATCAGAAACAAATCTAAATTTAGTGAATCATTCTTATGTAAACAAAGTGTGTTTTGTTTATATAATGGCCGAAAGATCGATTTTATCAGTTTATCTCCTCTCCCGATAAACAATCTAACTACATGTATTTGAAGTACCGTTTTAATGTAGCATTTTACTATTGACTAAGTGATGCCTGCCTATCTATTTCAAAGAGGTTGGTACTTTATTTTAAAACTGTTTATCTTGCAAAACATGATAAATTCACCGGAGAATTTCCTTCTTCAAAAAGAATCTCAACGAATCAGTAAATTTGGGATTTCAATATCAACCCCATCACAAATCATCAGAAACCGAGGGACACCGAAGTGATATCAGCTTGTGGCAGTTTGTTTTCAATACTTTGCGCTCCAAGGGGAACATAGAGCTTTAAGATTTAGCTTAGAGGTTTCAGTAACAACAACAGTTTCTGTTAGGTGAGGTTGCTAGTCTCATGCCCCACCTTCCCTCTTTACCTAGCTTACTACCAGCTAGGAGAAGTTCAGAAGTGAGTCGGTCAGTAGTCAAACTCGGACCACGTGCGTTGTTGGCGAACATTCTACCACCAGACCACCAAGTAGATCAGTAGCTTGTGACAATGTATATGTTAAAATAATTCGAATCTCCGAAACCTAAGTATTTAAAATCCAGAATTACTTGAAAAAGGACCAATCAGCTTGAAAAGTTAGTAGAATCGGCCGTATGGAAAATAGTTTATTCCATTCAGTCAGTGATCTATATGAGTGAGGAGTGAGCTTTATTAAAAGTTATGCTGGAAGTTTTCAGCAAATCATGTGATCCATATAGGAGGAAGTTAGACATTCGGTATAATAACAGTGACATTTATAGAACTCACCTATCCAAACTAATTCTTTATCAAAACTGGGACATTATATACTGCGAAATTTGGTAGACAGTGTTTGATATTTGAAGAGAAAAAGAACAAACATCGGTGCAGAATAACATAGATCCACTTTATTTGGTCGGTTCTCATCAGCTGCACACAGCTCATGATTTTTCACCGAAAAAGTCATAATACAATCGTTCTATGAAATGCTGCAGGTTGTATGCAGATGACGAGAACCGACCAAATAAAGTGGATCTCTGTTATTCTGCGCTGTTATTTTTCCCTTCTCTGTTCAAATCTAAAAAGGGGAATTCGTGTATGAAATATCCGATTTTAACTTGAACTTACGTTTTAATTATTTAAATTATACGAAGCAACATAACTGAGGAATAAAATTGACAGTATGGTAGATGAGTAAGAAAAGAAAATAATTTCAGGCTTTTGTCATCAAATTATCATTCTGCAGAGTTACACTGTATGTACACAGCCCAAACTACGACCGAATAAATTGAATGTGTAAAGCTTCACTGGCCCGGTTTCTCACAACAAATGTACAGACATACAATCAAGTTGATACAGAGAATACGGTCACCATTATGAATAATGAGACTGGATGTTATGCAGTAACTAAACATATCCAACACAATCCAACGTGAGCTGAAATACGGCCTGAATAACACAGTGGCAACTGAAGTACTTAAGTGATACAACAGTAACTCACTCAAAATGCAGCAATCCCTTTGGGATGATAGACACACTTAGAGTATTAGTTCTCACGAAATCCATTTCGTCGAAATCTTGCTTTCAACTATCTCCAATCATTCAACTAAAAATGTCAAAGTAATATATTGCAATGTATGAATGAAAAAAATTCTAAATCTTATAGAGATAAGAATTGGACAAAAGTTAGCCAGTCAGATCTGTGATATGACCACTTAGTTTAATGACTCTTTATTGTGATCCATTGTGTTTTGATACTAAATATTTACTGTCACTCTAATTTTGTACTTCTTAGTATATATTAGTCAGGTGTATCTATTATCCTAAATTTGATTCAGAAATACCCTCTGTTGAAATCATCAGTTTTCTACCAACCTTTCTAAATCACTATGAAATCAACACTGGTGTAGTTTACTGCATCAGTGCAGGAGTCATAACTGATTTAAACCTACAATAATGGCAGAAGGTTACAGACTAACTTAATACCAGTTAAGAAGCAGTCGAGATTTAGAGAATGAAGCCTAGTTTCTTCACCTTTAATTATGATTTTTCAGCAGTAGGCGATCATAAGTATGAGCTTTTTATTGAAAACACAGGAAACCTACCTAGGAGCCAGTCACTCATCAGCAGTAGACTGATATTTGGTTGTATCAGTCAAGCTGAACACGATTAGCCCCACTACTAAATGACACTGAATGACTATATTCCTATACAATTGATTACAAGTTCGACCACGAAATCGTTTCAGTTAGAGAACTATTGGGGACTAGGAAGTAATGGATATCCGTCCCTCCTTTGTTTTGGATCCTTCAAGAATACAC